CCGTTCTGGTTTGCTGTCACCCCTGACACGTGACAGTGGTGTCGATGACTGGGCTGCACAGTGAGTCAGCAGCGGGTTACGTGGAGTTGACAGTATTTGCGACCGTGTGGTGGTAGGGTGAATGAGTCGTCGGCCGTCTCCACTCGGCCTCGGTCCGACTTTTGTAAAGCCCACTGAGTCCTTTCTACGCTTGTCGCCATGGCGATAGTGACGCGAACCCCCATGAACCGAGCCACAGTGAGTTCCGGGAGTCAGAAGACTACGTCATAGCACTCCCTCCCTCCCCCATTGGATGTTCTTCCAGGTATCTGGTTTTTATTACTTTGATCAGTAGCTGTTTGTCATGCAGGCTTTAGTTTAGAAAGTGCACGTATGCTACCCTGACCAACGCACGGCACTGGGTCCAGTACAGAATGCACCCCCTACTAACTACTGTTTACCTCTTTTTTTCCTGTTGGAAGAAATCTCTGAATAATCCTGGAAGTCGTGTATGCTCTTTCTGGCTGAAAGAATTAACTTTTCGGGGTACCACGTTAGTTTTTTTAAACACAGCGCAGCCACACTACTGCCTGTGTTAATACAACAAAGGCAGCTAGTACGCCTTGTCCGGTATTGGGGCCATAAACAGTTGTCAGCCGGAGTGACGCCGTGTGAGGGAAACAGTGCATGCGAACGAAAGCCCACAGAGCTATCTTATTTCAGTCCTTTATCGCCGGCACATTTTGAGTTCTGCTACCTCTCACACGCCAAAATTCCGTTTTCCATCGCATAATCGCACCCGAGTCTGACGTTCGTAACTGTTACCTTGGTCTACTTACGCCATCTTTTATGGGGTTTCTCGTGCTAAAAAGAGTTGCTAGGCTAGCGTGCATAATGCGCACGTTGTGTTGCGAGAAACGTTCAATGTTAGGTTTGGAAAGACAAGCCTCAACTGCGGACGACGGACATTACCCATCTCTCCGCCAAAAATAGCTTAAACCGCAACGCTTTTTGCCTTCCTTGACTGGTTGTAACAGTCTTGTTCACAGAGTCTGGTGACTGGATCTTTTTTTTCAGCGTCTACAGTGAGGCTAAGGTAATTTGCAATTACAAAAATCGGCACACTGGGCTTTTTCTTAGAGAGGAGGGGAGTATACTGGATGTGCAAGCGGTTCATCCACTCTCCGCTCCTATTCCCGTGTTCTTTTTTGGGAGGAAGTTTGTGAGCATATAGGTAATTCCGACTGTTCTCT